GTCATTCTTTAGCAGACTCTGTTACCTGTTCTGCTCCATATGTTAAGAGTTGGGGCATATATTTCTTGTCCCCAAAATGCAGTGTTTTTGTGGAGGACCTTATATTAGCAGGAAATCATATAACTTTGTTATTTTAATTAAAAAATACTGGAGGCAGCTAATCTACCTAGTTTATAAGGCAGCTTGGAGAGGGTCATTTTAATGCAAGGTATGTTCCCCTCCATCATATTTCTGCCTGTCAGCTCCCAATGAAGTGAATTGATCTTAGACTTCTAAATTTGACAAAACTTTCCCCACTGTGACTACGACAGGCTTCCAGTTCTGATGTACCATAAAAGGTAGATCATTTTCAGCGGGAGGGACAGGGCATCTTCTAAGACTTGTCCCTACCAAGTGCCTTAGGGCAAAGCAATAGAGCTGAACTAGAGCTAGGTGTATAGGAAGATAGGTGTATTACTTTTTTTCTATGCCCTGCTATATGTATTTCATGGAAGCATGATAAATAGGGAAGCAATCACAGTGCTTTTTACTGAGCAATACCTCAATCCTGGAGGGTAGCTGAGCGTCGCCCTCCCCACACACAGTGAACCTGACAGAAGCCGTGCTCTCTGGGCAGCCGGACTAAGGATCCTGTCTTCTTGTCCATGCATGACGACCAAATCTGGGATAACAACTCACGTATTTGCCCTTCTCAGTCCAAAAGTCATGGTGGCGTTCTGTGCCTGTGCCTCGGGTCTGCCGACCTGGGGGTTTTGGCGCCGCAGCCTGCTGTAGTGGTGCCCTCATAGCTCATGGGGTAATCTGCTGACCTTTCGGGGGGGCTTGGCTTTGCGTGGGAGAAAACAGGAAAAACATATTCTCTCCAAAAAGAACAACCGCATGATAGGGATGGTTTTCTCCGTGTGCAGTAAGTATGTTTTCATGGCTAAAAAAAGTTAACCTGTCCACAGTAGTTCAACATGTTATCGGCGTTGCACACCTCTTCTCTCCATTCTGACTGCTGGTGGCGTAGATAGGCAGCAGCGCTGCTGGAGGGAACTGTTTTGACATGGCTTTAAAAACGTTGATGTAATTTCTATATTATAGTAAGTCATGCGCATGCTGAGTCTTCTCCTTATTATCATGTTCTGCTCGTCTCTTACTCAGTTTCTGAACAGTAAGTTATACTAAGTGTGGAACATTTTAATGGAAAACATTTGGGCTCATTTTGGTGTGCTGGTAGTTAAAACAGGATAGCCCACATTTAAGAAAGTCTTTTTTTGTTATGAAAATTCTCCCCTTTGGATTATTTCCAGTGAGGTTAAAGCATCTGCATACAACACAGTTCTATAAAGAGTTGTTCCAGAAGCGTTTTGCGTGTGCTGCTGTGGGTGCAGGCAGGGCTGGGATGCTGAAATGGTAGGAAGGTGCAGCTGGGAGCTCTTTGTACTGCACTGCCCTTGAGCTCCCTCTCTTTGGTAGCTCCTTATAGGGCTTGGGCTTAGGTTCTAGTGATTCAAACTGCTTTTCAATGTGACGTCAGAATTCATTCTGTTTATTTCAGTATATGGAAATCTGTTTTTTTGACATGTAGATTTTCAGTGTTCGTAGATTGTTTGGGGTTTTTTTTGTGCTGTTGTAGTGGAGTTGCAATGAAAATCCCTTTGCCGCGTGTGTTGTGCATCTGCCACACGAGGATCATTATGCAGCCTGTCCGCCGCTCTCTAATATTTTAAAACAGCATTACAGTTCACGCACGTGCTGAAAAATCGCAGTGTACGCAAAGAAAAGATGCCTTCCCGTTGCTCTTAGCTATGGACAGGCAGAAGTGAAAGCGTATCTTGTCTCCTGCGTGGGCCAGGCATTAGTGTAAGCAGGAAATTGATTCAGTTAACCATTGGCGTGCTCCTGCCGTCACAAAAAAGCACTTTTTCCCCTGACGGTTTCCCTTTGGTTTCAGTTCAGAGAGCACGGGCACGGGCACTGGAATCAGAAGTGGAAGAAGAGCTTCTGCAATCCACCCTGAGTCACCGGTGAGCGCTGGGACGGGAATTACGTGCCGCCTGCGATGGTTTGGATCGCATCCTGCCGAGCACTGGCTGGCGGTAGGTCTGGCACAGGGCTGCCGTTTCTCGGCTCCTCTGAGCCCGTCTGCGCAGCTGATTCACACGGGCACCTCTCCAGCTCGGGTGAAGCATTGCCATCCACTGGCTCTCTCCTGGGGCAGCCCGTTGCCTCCAGCAAAGCAGCTGCAAACCCCGCAGCAGCAGCAAACCTCCTGCAAGGCTGGCAGCGGTGGCAAACGTCCCCGGTGGTCTGGGCACCCAGAGGTTTCCGTTCTGCCCCCTGAGCAGAAGGCAGGCTCACCTTTCGCCTGAAGTGCTCTTTCCTGTGCCCTGAGGTGCCCTCAGCTGTGCGGCACGCTCCTGGGCGAGGCTGAGGTGGAGGAGGCGCTTTCATGGAGATGCCGAGAGTCTCCGGTTTTAGGAATGGGATCTGGGTTGGGTGCGTCGTGAAGGTGTTTAAGGAGATAAAGATTTCAGCAAGGGAGTTGGAAAGCGTTGTACCACAGCAGAGCGCTCCTTGCAGAAAGAGATGGGAATGAATGTGGTTGATTTAATGAGCAGCGAGAGCTCTGAAGGAGTTTCTGGATGGGATTTTGGGCTGGTGACTGGGTTCTTCTTAATGCATGCCATAATTTTGTTGCCTAAAACATCTGTAACATTGTTCACCCCAGCTGGAAGTGCTTCTGGAGTTAAGGTAGACCCTTAAAGGCAAAATGGGTAAAACATGGATTTTTTTTTTAATGTGTTCTTACACAGTGCGGCATTAACTTGCTAAACCATACCATCAGATGATGTAAGTCCTGCAGTGTAATAGGACTCAGGAAATTGGATGCCACGTAAATGGGAGAGAGCACTAATAAGGGAGAGGAAGGAAACGTGTTTCAGGGTTCTCACCGACCAACGGCAGAATGAGTTTGTAGGAAATTTGTCCGGTAGGTAGTCTGTGCTATGGAAGCTAATAGTGACAGCTCTGCATCTGCCTTTGAAGCGGCAGGCACGCTCTGCTGCTGGCGTCTGCTACGGAGGCAGCCCAGGCACGAGGCTGGTAATCCCTCGGGCAGCATTTTGGCATCTCTGGCTGACATGAGGAAAATAGAATTGCTCCTTATTAAGTATCAGAGAACTGGAGAGGAGAAAAGGTCAGCTGTTGAAAAATGAAAGGAGTGACATGGGCAATCATCTCTGGATTGAAGTAGAGGGCTGTTCATTTGGAGGGACCAGACAGGGTAATTTGCAAACTCCAATTGGAATAATAAGTCTTTATGCCTGGAATATGATTAGGGCTCGTATTCCTGTGGGTTACTGACGTTAGATGATCGGTTGTGCTGGAGTAAGTCTGACATTCAGCCTGGTGGAGGGCAGGGAGGTTCTCACAAGCTGGGCAGGTAAATACGGTGTACAACCATGAACAAGGGTGCTGAGTTACAGGAGCACGTAAATGTTTGCTGTGAAATACATTTTCATTGGTTAAGTGCTTTGGCTTTTTTTTGAATCAGGTGCTTTATCTGTCCGCAGGATTTCCTCGCCCAGTATGGGATATTGAAGTAGAAAGGAAAATGGATGTTGCTTTCTGAAGCCTAAGGTGGTCTGTGGCAGTGCTTGAGCTGTGCGCAGCACAGTGCTAGTCGCTGCTTCCTGGGCCGGGAATCCATTGCAGCAGGGAGGTAGGACAGTATATCAGTACGTGGCATACAGTTTCATGCCAGCTGTAAGGTCATTAATGGTGATGTGTTGGCCCTGCTTCCCTACGAAAGCAGCAGATACCCTCAGTGACCTTACAAGAGCTGAGTCTGAGCTCTCGGGGAGGTGCTGATGCCGGTAAGAGTGACTCGAGTGACTGACAGGGCAGTGATGCACACAGAGGAGAAACAGCGTCCCACAGCACAGGTATAAAATTGAGCGCTTCCCTCGTGAAACGATCTGAGAGCTCAGGTGTGTTGTGCTTTTGTACACATCCTGTCAGGAAAAAATGTCTTCTGAATGCAAAGCCACAAGAAATGAAAACCAGAGTGGCTCTAGGTCTTGAGCTACTTGCAAAAAAAATACTGCAAGATTGAGGGACCGGTGGCAAATCTCAAGGTTTGTGACTTCGGACTGGAAACAAATGTTGCTGTTTTTTCCTATTAGAAAATCAGCATTGCATTCCTGTGCTGTATGAGCTTTGGTAGGTTGAGAGAAAAACTTACGTCACGCTTCTGATTGCAATCTTGCTTTTCTTTCTTTTTTTTCCACTCTTCTTTCAGGCAGGATTAATATTGCCAAGAACTTGCATATAATTAAGTAAAACTTTGAAAAAATAGGATTAGAATTTACTGCCATAAGTGACTGATCAACGGGAAAAAGAAAGATGTCAAGTTAAGAGGCTTTGACTCCTGTAACTGAAGGTAAAATCCCCTTGCTGCCTTTTTTTTGGTGTGCTGCTTGCTGTGAACCACAGAGCTGTCTCCTGCTTGAACCAGTGCAAAGAACTCGTGAAGTCATGTGGGTGGGCTCTACATTAAGTGTAGACTTTCCTGGCAGACATCAGGGCCAAGACTTGGCCTCTGCTTTCCCCAGCCATGTCCGTGACTCTTGTAATTTTTTTGAGACTAAGAGCTGCTGCAAGAAAATTTAAAAAAGCATACAAATCTCTATTCTGCAGAATAATTTTCAGATTGTGAAACTCTTTTCCAAAGAAGTGTGCTTTGATGCGTGTCACGTAACCATCGTTTTGTGGTTATCTGAGCATTTTGTTGTTCTCCCATGTAGTTGGCGCCGCGTTTCCCTCCGAAATCTGTCGCACCCTGTTGCAGATGACAACCCTCCCGCGAGCGGCAGCC